CTATCTATCTATCTATCTATCTATCTATCTATCTATCTATCTATCTAGACCAGACAAATCTTAAACCCAGAGATCCACTAGCTATTCTCCCAAAAGTCCTGGGTTCAATTCTCCAAAAACCATACAGTGGCCTGTAATTGGACTTTTGGCTACTTTATTGGGTTCTTTTTCCTACCACTCATCTGTACCCTTCTAACCCAACACTAGGTAGGAGAGAAAGAAGGAAAGGGAGCACTGATATCATTAGACTACTTCCTGCTGATTAGGGGTGAGTGGAAACTTAAGGGTTCTTTGGAAAGTTGTTTGGATGGTGTTTTGCTGGGGCAAACACATGAAAGAATGTTTCTTTAAAGTGGACACAGGTGCGAAAGGCTAAGGCTCGACTCCTGAAGGAACGTTTTCTTGAAGCAGACACAGGGGAGAGGTTGTTCTGCTAAAGCAAGCATGTGAAAGGACATGTGATGAAGGATTCTTGTCTAACAACACACATGTATTGGTCCACCTTACGTTTCGTAGTTGAGCTGCATTTGTCAGGACTCCATAGAGAGAAACACACCAAAAAACCTCTAGTGGCATGCTGCAGTTTGTTGCCATTTCTGAGGACTTGGGCTGTTGCAAGTGCTGAAGCAAGGCACATGTTGAGGCAAGGCAGGTGGAGGACATTTAGGGGGTATAAATAGGATCCCACAGAGTGACAGAGACAGAGCTTGGCGGTACAGTTAGCTGTGCAAGCTTGTGGGTCTTTGCTGATCTTCTTTGCTGATCTTGGCTTCCCTGAGAGGCACAACTGAGAACTCCCAGGAATGTCCCTCAGGGTCCCTCCTGCTGACTAGAGCTGAGGCTGTGGCCTGGCTATCTCTGCTAGGTCACGTCACCGCTGTTGCTAACCCAACTCTAGGAACTGAACCACTGTTGTAGAGTTTGAGCTGGTTTTACAGCCAAGTGGATTAGAAAATGCTACAGTTTTATTTAATAGGTCAACAGCTATGTATGTATGTATGTATGTATCTATGTATGTATGTATGTATGCATGTATATATATGTCAGATATGACGGTGATTCTCATAGTGGGTGGTTAACTGATGGGCTTTGGGGGGAGTGGTTTTTCCTGGCCCAGATGATTCTGGGAAATGGCTGCCTAAACAAATGAGCCAGGTTTTTGTTTGTTTTGTTTTGTTTTTACTATGGGATTTCCCAGAGGGGTCCATAGAGTCTCCCAAAGGTGGACAGACGGTGTCACACGGCAATTTCTTACTTTGTTTGACAGCAGACATCCTTTATAAAAGCACACATAGTCAGTTCTCTAAGGATTGAGCCGGGTACTTGAGTTCTTTTTGGTGTTATCTCTGATAGATCTTGATATCAGGGTTATGATAAACCTGGAAATACATTATTTTTTTCTTTTGCCTGTAGCAATTTTTTTTTTTTTTTTTTTTTTTTGGAGACAGGGTCTCTCTTCAAAGCCTTTTGTGGCTTTCCTGCAACTTGCTATGTAGACCAGACAAACTCACAGAGATCTGCCTGCCTCTGCATCCTGAGGGCTGGATTTAAATTGAGCACCATGATGGGCTCTGTACCAGTTTAAAAACACAGATTGTCTGTTTCCTTATGGTGTGTTTGGACTTGTTATAAACCCATTTGGATCAGTGGTATTTCTGAGTGACACAAATACCTGGATTGTATGCACACATTTGAGAACTGTCCCCACGGGTTCTTTTCCTCGACAGCCAGTTCTGCTTGGCACCTTTTGCTTCAGGATCTTCTATTTTGGAAAAGCATGGGATGTGTGACTATGAGTCCTGATGCAGGAGCAAATCCAAGCCGGCTACTGTGTGGTCTTCTGTTTTAAATATCCTGCTTAGCACAAGTCCCCTCCTGGGCCTGCAGGCCTGGCTGTGTAGCTGGCAGGTGATTCAAGGATCAAAGGCTGCTGCTGCCTTTTCTTACAGCCTGAGGGTCCTGCTCCATTTCTTCCTGACTTCTGTATCTTTCCCCAGGCATTGGAGGGTCAGGCATCCCTTGCTAGATGCTTCCTCAAGTCTTGCCCCCAGGCCTCTATGGGTAAATCGCCCAGCAAGAGGGGCGAGCTGAGACCTGCTTTGAGCGTGGGGTCAGTCTGAGGCCCGGCTTTACCGCATTAGGTCAGCCGGGTAGTGGGCAGAGCAGAGGGGTCGCCCCGGGGTGCAGTCAAACCTACAAGGGACAGGTGGGAAGGCGTCTCTGCAAAGGGCCTGCAGGCCTGGGTGTCCGGGCGTCTTGCAGGGACCTACAGCCGAGCTGAGCGGTGGACGAGGGGGACCGCGAGGCCTAGAGGAGCCGAGCGGAGGCCGACTGGGGGCGGGGACCGAGGGCGCCGAGGGCCACAGGGCGGTGCGCTCCCGGGCTCCGCCGCAGGCTGCGCGCCCCTCCCGCCCCGGCCCCGGCCCGAGCCGCTGTTGCTGTTGCCGTCGCCGCCGCCGCCAGGCCGCGCCCCGCCCCGACGCCCAGG